CAGCTGCGATTCTGTTGCCAGTCCCTCTATGATTCCTTCTTCGACCCCGCTTCCTAAGAATTCCATGAACAAAAGACCAAGGATGTTCCTCGAGCTCTAAGAAGTCGTATGGAGACAGCTCTTTTGGCACAGCCTGAAACATTGGTCTCTTAGGGGTCTACCAGCTTCCTACTTTACAGTGGGCTCTATGCTCATGACATGGCTCATGATCAAACTTTGTTATAGAGCAGATAGATGGTGGATTTCCAGACTTGTTAGTGATCTATTTCTCGCCCTTACAGTATGTGGTGTTCAATTTTGTATTCTCCTCTTACACTGAATTGCAAATCTACACTATTTCCTCCTGTGCCACATCACTGAAGATGTTGCTACACTGATGCTAATTTCAGAACCGTGGTGTAATTCTCTGGTCAGCTAGCAGGATGTCCTGACAGCATCTTAGTTTAAGTACTCTTTGAGTGATCTGCTGAAACAAAGCAAGCTTGTCTCAGTGGGCGAGGGAAGGGGCAGTGATGTTAGCATCTTCTATCAAGCTGGGTACTGCTGCAGTCAATGGGGGACCTCAGAAGTGGTCTTCAGTTCAGGATGGCATGCAGTCCTAAGGCCCACAGGCTGGCTAGCCCCTTTTTTGTTTGTAGGTGTTAGGGAGTTTGAGATTATTATCTTGTCAAGAGCCCTAGTTAATTCTGTTGTGAAGGCAGAAAGCATGTGGTTCAAGTCTAGTACAGAAACGGCCAGGAGCAGTCTAGCTGTGATAGCACAGAGCTCAGCATTTGCTGTTTTACCCTAGTGAGTGCCTTGCTGCTGTGTCTAAACTGCTACCACTACCTAAGCAGTTAGTTACAAGTTAGCTTGAGTATCTAAACTGCCTGTTGATGTGAATGTTTCAATTCAGACTGCTACCATCTGTTGTTTCAAGCTCTATGTAGACTATGGAAGATGCTACTAAAGTGGTTACTTTTGATTCCCATCTTCAAGATTTTTTTCAATAACTACAGGGGCCACAAACTTCCTTTTTAGATGGAAGTTTAGGTTCTGGTGCGACTCCATGAGGATAATCCCAGCAGTAAATCCCTTCCACAGTCTTGACATTCAGATAAATAACAAGCCCCAACAAAATGCAGAGCAGTATGCTAGTGAAGCAGAGAACAGATCATAATATTAAATGCTGGAGGCCTCAAGAACCAAGTATGATTTAATCGTAGAGAGAAAAAAAGCATTTTGATGGAAAGTGTCTGTGAAATAACAGTATAGAATCACACAAATGAAATAGCAGAGAGGAATATGCTCTTTCTTTACTCTATACTGTAGATTGTACAAGCATAATTTTAGTCTTGATACTGGAATAGAAATGCTTAGTCATGGAAATGGAACAATATTTTAAGTACTCTGTCTATACTTTTATTCTTTTGAAAGTAAACTTTGTGTTGAAGGATACAATTTATTAACAATGTGCTTGTTCTAAGGCAGGTTCTGCTGCATTTATAGTATAAAACAGCATTTATACTGTAAAACAGTTGTGTAAAGAGTCTGGAAGATTTTGTAAAATGTATAAATATAATCAGGCTCCAGTGTAATGCTGCTTTTCTTCCCACATTGCCACACACCAATTAACTTGAACATCCCTCATTATTTTTATGCTCAGTGTTCAGTGCCTGCCTTTCCTTTTGTTGACTTAATATTATGGGACCTTTTTTCTCTACATGTCTTCAGGATTTTTTTTTATCCCTAATCCTTCTTGTTTCTTAAGCTTTCATTGTACCCTGGTGGACTTAGTAGAAACGGGATCATCATCAGGATGAATGACTCAAGTTTTTTAACATTGAGTCAATGGTCACAATGAATCGATTCATATACCTTTAGTGAGCAAGTACAAGCTGCAGTGTCTCAGTGCACAGTTTTCTGAGCACTGTTGAAAAGTATTATAAACATGTATTATAAACATATATATTCTACAATTTTATTAACAGTATCATAAACATACTATTTACTATATTATAATAAAAGTATTATAGACTATTTATTTGTTTTATTATTATAAACTATCTGTGTGGTTCAGCTTAGGGTATGAGGGGGAATTATTTATCTTTTGCCTTGTATATTATACTTCTGATTAAGAATAAAAGCCTTAGAGTACATATCAAGGTTGTTTCATATAGGTAACTATTTATTTTTTAAAGTAGTTCGTTAGCCATGTTAGTCTGAAATCAGGCAGAAGACACAGAAAAATGCTACCTTGCCCTGCCTTTTTCCTAAAGTACATTTAGATTCATATTAGATGGATATGCATAATTATATATAGACTTTTTATTCAGTTAACAGATGCTAGTTTTCTGAGCCATACCATAGTTCTCTTTCTCAAAGGAGCATTAGCTGTTCTCTTCAAGCTTCTAAGATCCAGAGCAGTGATTCTTAACCAGGGTGCAATGAGGTCCTTTTAAGAGTGATGCACAATGTTACCGTTGTTAGGTGTGCAAACACCTAACATGTCTACGCATGATTCACAGGATAAACCCAAAGGTTTCAAATGGGAATCCATTGTGTCAAAATATTTTGACCTGTTGTGGGTTTTCTTTGCAACCAAAGAATTAGTCTAATATTTTCCTGTAGCAAAAAATGAATGAAAACTTAACAGCTGGCATTTTCTGAGGCATGCCATGAGTCTAATGAGACGGGTCTTAAGTTTAAACAGGTTGAGAACTACAGATCTAGCGTCTCCCAGGGATGTTACCTATATAGCTATTCAGAAGACAAGAATGTATTGTGAACAGGATGTGGAGAACTTTATATCATCTAAAAGATTTCATCTCTTGAAAATTCACACTGGAGTATGACATTCCCTTAAAGAAATTATGAGCAATAGACATACCCTTAAACAATTTTGAAAATGTTACCCCAGATACTCAATAGTTGTTGCCCAAACTTGCTATATTGGCTGAGCCCGGTGACTCTTTGAAGGCTTTCTAGTCATGTTCCAAGGTAGCTTGCTAACAACCGCAAGTCCAATTTTTTTTTTTTTGCTCCTACTGAGGCACTTGAGTGGGGTCAGAGTGTATAGTTCCATGGATAAGTTCTGGATTGGAATCATAGATAGATAGATTAGAGCCTCTTTTGATGGGGTGTGGGCAGAAGCAGCTTTTAGTTACCCAGATTGAGTTGCCTGCCAAACTCTGAAATCTCCATTGGCACTACATAGGTTTGACAGCATTTTTTTGCTACTCAGTTTGTCAGGCTACAGATGCCTGTGTCCCCTTATCATATAATAAGACCCTGGCTAATGGGTTTCAAATATACCACCAGTGAAATTACTACTGTAATCAGTCAGATGGCTTTTTCCTTGGTTTTAGTAGTCTGCTTCTTGTAACACTTCAGTTGAAGAGGTGAGGGGGGTGGTGGCTATGATTCTGGGCAAAGCTGTAGCCTGGTGCAGCTGAACTTCTGTCTCTCTCCCCCCCCCCCTTGTAATCTAGTATTTTCCCATCATATTTAATGTTTTGTTGAATTGGTTCACGCCTTTCTGTATTGGCTTCTGTGCTCAAATGACGTCTCAAAAGTTTGGGTCAAAGGAGGTAGTTTATTATCTGGAGTGCCTCTGCCACAGTACTAGCTTGGGACAGTGAATACAGTCTTGCAACTTCACTTGAAAGGTATCCAAATATTTTTCTAAAATAGTAGATTTTGAAGTTTTTCACAGCTAATCCCAAATCAAAAACATTGGATAAGTCAGTCCTTTAGGAATCGGGTAAATAGCCAGAGATTAGGATCTTGAGAGACATAGCTGGACCCAGAATTTGTTTTAAGAACTGCTACCCTCAACTATTAATAATTTGCTTGATTTACTGTTCCGAACCTTATATACTGCTTTGCTTTGTCCTTCAAGAATGGTACAGTCCGGATAAGCAAGTGTGTACCTCGCCATCTTGCTTCACCAATAACTTTTTTCAGTAATATAATGAGTTAACTTCCAGTCAGATAAGGTAATGCTAGTATTAATAGAAGTTTCAGTAAGTTGGTGACCTGTACAAGCTCCAGGTCCAGGAACTGCTTCTCATTTGGCATCCGAGCCTGCTGCTATTGTGCCAGCCATTTCATGAGGTCTTTGACAGACATAGAAGATGTCCATTTTCTCACTATTAGTGTCAAGTTACAGTAGGATCAGGATACAGTGCCCTTGCATGCAGTACAGCATGCAGTATAGCTTCTACTTCTCACTTCTGAAGGACTGTCTCATCACTGTTTTTATAGCACCCTTGCCCTTTCTGTTTCAAGGTATGACAGTCTTGATCTAGGAAATAAACTCATGTGCATGTACAGCTCTGTGAAGCTCTAATCTCAAAGCTATGAACCCACCTTGAAAATTCATTATTAACTGAAAACTGAATTCCTCCTTATTGATCCAGTAAAATGAGTTTTAATAATGCTGTGTTTATAGCCAGAATGCAAAGACTCTTCCCATTTGTATCTGTTAGTCACTGACAGAGCAGTTGATTTTTGCTGTCTGCTTTTAAAAATGTATATCTTTACCCTATGATTAGTGTTATCGAGGTATTGACAATCAGATGCTAAAAGATATAATCAGTAAAACATGTTAATTGTTTTAGAATTTTCTTAAAGTAGTTCTTTACCATGAAGTTTGTTAGACAGAAGTTGATGTGAGAGAGATTACATGACAAATTAACTGAAAGCTCATGTTGCAACTGAAACATTATCCACTGTCACAAAACATGTGTGCACTGATATGCAAGAGCTGACGAGCCTGTCAGGGGTGGCTTGCAGGAACTGCATATGTGGTTAATGGAAACGAAATCTAAGTGCAGTTCTGTAGCATGTGACTTCCTATTTCTGTAAGGTACTTCCAAGGGACTTCCTCTACTGAATCGGCTCCGGTCTCTAGGGATTTGATCTAGAGCTGTTGCTTAGTCTGCTTTTTTCCTTCGGTGGAGTTTTCTGAGTTTTGTTTTTAGAGGTTTTTTTTCCCCCCCCTCTTGTGCCTTTTCCAGCATGCAAGGATCTAGTGTCTACTACCCGTGACAGGAAGCTGAATACATTTGTACAGATCTCAGTGGTACATCCAGCAGAACAGACTTTGACGAGATATTCAAATACTGAAATCGTGGAGGTGAGCTGCTTTTTATCACATTAATATTCATTGCTGAATTTTATATTATTTACTTGTAAAGTAAATGAACAGCTGAAGCAAGTTAGTACATGGTCTGTAGTAATGGAAGCATACTGGAGTTGTTAGTAAAGCATACCTGAGAATGTTCTGAAGTCCTTGGCATGTAACCAGGATAAACAGTCAGAAATGAAGTTGCCTTTTCATGAAAGGTCTGTTTTTCTAACAGGAGACATAAAGAACAGTCTGGCTTTTCAGACATAGATTTAGAATGAGCAAGGAAATAGTTGCTTTCATTAAGGAATAAAGCTATGTAAAATTAAACTAAAATATGACTGCAATGAGTTTTGGTTGAACATTTTTATTGTAGGAGAATGTAGTACATGTAATATTCTGCTATCCATTCATTTTTCATTTATTCTCCTTTCAATTGGAAACTTGACATTTTTGTAGCTTGAAAAATGTGTTTGCTTTTATGATTTGAAAAGGAGGATATGTACAGATTTGAACAACCTACATTAAATTTGACAGCAAAAGTTACATGGCATCGCTTTCCTAATATTTGTCTACACTCCCTTGCCCCTTGCTCTAGAAATGTTAGTGTAAGAAAAAAAAAAGTAGAGTTTATATTTACAAAAATCCTGGGTCAGGCCACATAACATATTGTTTGATGTATTAAATGTTGGAGAAATTATTAGAAGCAGGAAGTTCTCTTTCCAGATTATTTTAACAGGGAAAAAATGAATGGCTTAATAAATCCAAAACACAAGAATGTTTCATGAGCTCTTTTTGTGATCTTCTGATTCCAACTGACTGCTTATTCAGTTGTCATGATTTGAACCATCAGCCACCCCAAAACTGCCTAACTCAAGTAGCCTGCAATACATCAGAATGGTTCAGTGCAGGCTGGCTGTCTTGATATGCTATAGGAGGTAGAATAGATGTTTCAGTATTTTACACCTTTTCTAATATGGGGATAACCCAGATTCTGAACAGAATCCTGAATTTCGTGTGTTGTACCTTTGGGTTTCTGTCACACTTCCTTATTAGTAGCTTATGAACATCACCAAACTTCACCAAAGGAAAAGTTTTCATTGTGCAAAATCCTTCCTTTCTGAAAATGTAAATGTATCTTCCCAATAATATTTACATTTCATATGGAGTTTGCTTGTTTTGTTTTGTTCTTTAAAAAATACAACAACTCTTTTATTTGTGACTGGGAAATGCCAAGCAATGGTTTCATATGGTTTATTTAGAAGTTCTAATATCTTAAAAGATAACATTATTACTATTGTTTCTCTATTTACAATTGTTCAAGAGAACTAGAAAATCATCATTTTATAGGATTCTGTCAAGCCTTATTAATTTGGTATTGTTTAAAAGAAGGAAATGTAACATTCAGGGTCAGTACCAGAATTAGTTGTTCCTAAACTCTTTTGACCAACATACCACTGTCATCTGTCAACGCTGCTTATAGACCACCATGCCCTCTTATTGTCACGCTTAAGAGAAAAGGTACGTATGATTTGTGAGCTGCCCATACAAAGACTACCCATGATCTTTGGACCACAGTGTGGGAACTACTAGGATGTCATGTGCTGCACTTCCTGAGCCAGAAAATTATCATGAGATCATTCATTCTATATGTATTAGGGTAAAATTCTTCTATATGCCAGTCAGGGCTAAGATTAAAGATGAAACTGCAAAAAAAGAAAAAAAAATCAATGAGTACCATCGAAGTACATTTACATTCTTGAATTTAAAAAACTGAGAGATCAATTATGAGCTAAGAAATTGAGTTAATTGTCACGGTGGTACTTGAGCCCATTGAGTCTTTTAAAATCATGCTGATACCATTCTGAACCAAATTTGGAGTGTTTTAATCAAATATCATCAACAGTTGACAGAAGTTATACCTTTTGTCCTTGTAAATGGAAATAAAAAAATAGTGACTGTTGGCCCTAAGCAAGTACCTTTGTAAAATTTCTTATTGGAAAAAAAATATTTCTGAACTCTTAAAAGTACTCATATAGGTTACTTGGCCTCTCTGAAGCACCTCTTTTCAATGTGATTAAGTTTTTATGCTATAAAGTTTTATGTTGCTAATGTTGAGGTAGCATTTTGCAATTCAGGTAGGTCTCTATGTTAGCAGAAATATTTCTTTTAAGAAGCCTGTAGTTTCTACACATTTATCCATAACTGTACACTGCACAGCTGTTACCTTACTGAATATAAGCTGTTTACTTATATAAGCTGTTTACAATACAGGGAACAAGAGACCCACTGTTTTTGACTGGTGTGACGTTCCCACCGGAATACCCTGTCTATGAGGAGACTAAAATAAAACTAACGGTCTATGATGTCAAAGATAAATCTCAAGACACAGTAAGTATCTAGCTCCTTGTCTTGCATAAATATAGTTCAGAGTTAAGTTTTCTTGTCCCGTCCCCCCCCACCCACTTTTTATCATTATTTTAAACTGAAGGAAATACATGCGAGGTTCTTGGAATTGCTCTTTCTGTATCCCTAAAATGATATTTATGTATTCATAATTTCATTTCGAGAAACCGAAAGAAATTATTGAAGAGGAAAAGTTGCTCCTTTCCACCACTTACAGTGGACTATGTAGTAATGGTTAACGTCTTTCTTTCTGAGTATTTTGAACTGTTTTCTGGTAGAGAGCATATGGAATAGATTGAGATAATAGGACTGCAAATAATCTTACCGGAAATATGTTACTGATCAGATAATGCTATCCATGTCAAAACCATGGCAAAATTGAAGCCTGGTATTTGGGGTTTAAGAAAGATTATGAGTAATCACATTTTGTTTTAATCTTTTGCATGTTGAAATCTGTAAGCCTTTCCTCACTGTCATTGTTATCAGTAATTGTCTAAGACATTCTGGAGGATATAGGAAAATGTAAATCTAACCTTGTAGAGACGGATTGCATATCTCTTATGCTGGTGAGCAGTCACTCACATGAACGTTCCTGTTGAAGTCAATGAGACTATTTGAGTGAGTAATTTGATCACCAATATGAGTCAGAATTATCTAAGCTAATGTACAGTAATGGCAGTACACAAACACGTTATCTAGAGGCCTCAAGTAGGAAACTGAGCATGTAACTTAGCTGTTTATCCTGATGATCCCATAACAGAATACCCAGTTAAATTACTCCAAGTTAATAGGTATTCATGTTTTTTCTTTAATAAAGAAGGGGATGGATGTTTGTTGTGCATCTATTTTGGATTTGCAGAGAGTGAATCAATAGGTCGATGGAGCGTCACCATTAGAGTAAGAAAGAGTAGCTGACCACCAAAGACTTGTTCTCTTCTGAATGCATGGAGGATTTTAGGAATAGTGTTTTAGAATGTGTTGTATCTGTATAGCTTGCATAGCTTAAGGTCACGTCTAATGTATTTAAGATACTGGAGTTAACATTATTATTTACTTTTTTCTCTCACTATTTTAACAATTAAGGTATTCTATGTATTGAGTACAGAATTCTAATAATTCCAGCAGGGAACTTCCCCACTTGGGAAACTATGCTTCATGATAAAGTGGGAGAGAGTTGGTGAGGGGATGTGGGCAGTGTGTAGACCTTTCACTATAACTCTTCCCCTTCATCACCCAGTGCAGCTGAGCAAACACTGTGGGTAGTAATCTGCTGTCCATATGTACCAGCATAGTATGAGCAAAGGGTTGCTTCTTCCCTGATCAGATATTTGGGTGGTAGACCTCCATGGCACCCCTTATACAACATGAACTATAAATATCCAGTCTAGTCTTATTTAATTCATACAGTTGGATAAATTTTGCAGCTTTTAAAAACTATTCCATAAAAATTACTACTTATAATCAGTGCTGTAGAATTTTACAGGATTGTTCACAAACCTACAAGGAGAATTTTTTTCTTTTTTAAATTCTATAGCATATAGCTTAACTTCTCATCTCTAGAACCATATTTCATTCCATATTCATTCTGTTATATTTTATAGTACTTTTCCATCGGGGAAATTTTTTGTACCTTCTTTAAAATTTCATATGTTTCAAATATTTAGCATCTGTGACATTGAACTGCAACATTAAAAAAAAACAAACAACCTGTAAACTATGGATGTAACTAGCTAGTAGAATATGTGCGTCATCGCTGCTTGGACTGCTCCCCAGTAGATGCACACCTGCTAGCGGTCAGCTGATTGGAAGGGGCAGGGCTGGGCTCCCATTTAAACTCCAGGGCTAAGGCCAGTGGGGGAGTTCCCTGCTGGCAACCAAGGGGGGAAGGAACCCTGCTGGAATGAGTAATGCATAGAGACCAAACTGAAGGTACGGCCCGAGATTGGGGACAGCTGAAGCAACTCTGGTGTGACGAGAAGAAGGTTGGAGCCAGATGGCTTAGATTTATGTTATAGCCCAGGGGCTTGTGTTACGTTTGTTGTTGTGACCGGCGGTTTGGGTGAGGCTAAGAGAGGATGGAGGAGGCCTCATAGGGGACCCACAGCAGCGTGGCAACCCCAGCCCCAGAGAGAGGGTGCAGCAAGAAGCCCCAGAGAGAGAGGGCACAGTATGAGACGGGGCCACGGAGAGCCTGAGCGCCAGAGAGGGCGCAGTGCGAGACCGAACAATGTCAATTGCATCTGCGAGGCTTGGGGCGTGGTACAGGAGCCACGCATAGCCCATAAGGCTGGGGTGCATAGAACATCCAATACAAGAACGAGACTAGTGATAACAGGAGAACTGTGGCCCAGAGGACGAAAGGCAGCCTCCCTATAAAATATATATGACATCAAAGTTGTGGCGGGCGAGAGTTGAAGGTGCTTGTAGGCAGCTTGGCACGGTAAAGAAGGCAGCAGGGGAGAGCACAGCGACCCAGCCCGCCCTCCTGTTACACTTGGATATTCACCGTGATATAGCTGCAACAGCACAGATCTCAGTGTAGGCCACAAAGTTTGCCCGAGAAACTGGGTAAATGGTTTGGGTGACTTGCCCATTCTAAGTTGCTGTGGCTGTGTTAGTAGTAGGAGCTAAGTTAGCTTGTTTAAAGCTAGCTTGCATTTTTCTAAGCAAACTGTAGTCACAGAAATAACTGTAGGGTACAAATACCCCAGGTCACTGGAAGCACAAAACTAGTGCTGCTACTACACTGCCAATAGAGTCCATCTGCTCTGGAGTCAAAGCTGTGATTGCAACTTATGTAGACATACCCCAGCTAGTGTTGTTTAGCTAGCTCAAACATCTATAAGATTATAGCCAAGGCAATGTAAAGGGTTTGGTGTGGCTTATAAAACCTTCCTTGGTGTAAAAACTGTGGCAGTTTGCTTGTACTAAATAGCACTTTGCCATGGTTGACTGCCGGTAGTCAAGCTAGTAGTTTAAACCGTGTGTGTGTGTGTATGAGCTGAATTTACTCTTTTGACTGCAGTGAAGACAAGCACTTGGTTATTCTTTGTGGTTTCCTTTCTCCTGAAATTTAAAGCTGAAATAGTTAAATTGCATGTATTTGATATGTGTAAATGTTTGATCAGTGTAATTTGCCTGCCAAAAATGGGGGGGAATATGGGAGGATTTTGATCTATTTTGTGCAACCCCACTCTGTCCTGTCATAAGAGGTATAGGCCTCACGTTCAAACCCATGGAGGTGCTAGCATAATAACAAAACGGTAGGTAAATCCTGTTCAATATGCTCACGCAAGTAGTCACAACAAGATAAATTTTTTGGTTTTGGTAACGTGCCATTAGTGCTGCCTTTTTAACAGATTACTTCAAAAAGATTTGAGGATAACCTTGCAAAATCAGAACACAGAGATTTAACTTCTCTGCTGCCTGTCATTTAACTTGCATTTATATAAGGGCAGCTTAATTATATCTAAGCACTGTGCAGCTGTTATCACATCTATAGTACTTGACATACTGGCTGCTGTAGCCACACTTTTCATATTTTGTGCAGATTTCTATTATTCTTGTCATAGTTGTGACATGGCTGTGTGCTATAATAGAGTTTCTAATAAAATGAAACGGCTTTTATTGTTTAAAATATGCTATGCCTAGTTAGAAAGACTGTTTTATTAATTCAGGGTTTCATACAGAATGAAACTTTTTCATGAAAAGGTTGCTTTTTACTTTACTTTGTAGCAGGAATAAAGAATGCTAAGGTTAGCACTGAAATTCAAAAGAGATCATTTTAAATTTAGCAAGCAAAACCATGTGTTCAAGGCAGCGGGTGATGCCACACACTGAAAAATGTAGTGACATCTGTTTCTACATCACAAAGATTTTCTTCCCATATTGCCATAAGCCAGTTTATTTATGTTTCACTGACTTAAGTCAAACTGTCTCTAAGATTTGAGAGTTGAGTTTTGCCCTAATGTTTGGGCTGCAGCTGTTTTTTAGATCACAGTACTAGAAAACCAAAATTTAAACCTCATAATATGGATTGTTAAAATAATGGCATTTCCCTTCTAATATGAGACTTAGAATTCTTAACTTTCACAAAGGTTTTTTCAGTTGACTTCTGTATAGCATGCACACATTTGCACAAGTTGATCTAGCATATTTTGATGTAACATACTGAAAGTGGACATTCTTATAAGAGATACTGTATAGCACTAGTCAGATCATGTTGTCATACGTGTGGTTGAGCTGCAGGAAGAAACTATAATATAAAGAATTACTGTAATTTACAACTGAGAGAAGAGGATGTCTTTAGGGTTGGAGTCAGGACTCCCACTCTCATAAAAATTAAAATACTATAGTATTCTGCAGTAATATTCCTGAGACACTGTTGTTTCATGCAGTGCAGCTGCATTGATTTAGTCAACAGTTGTGAAATAGTTGGCATTGTTTTTATCAGGATGTATTCTTCTGTTTCCAACTCTGCTGCTGACTTGCCTTACTGGTGTGATCTTATACAAGAAACTTCATCTCTCATTTCCATACATTTCCCATCTGAAAAATGCTCAAAATAATGTTTAGCTACTTCACATAAGCCTTTGCTATAAGAGTCTTAGATTAAAAGAGTTAGAGATTACGAGGCCCTCTCCACACACTACATTTATGCAGTGATTAACGTGGTAATTGCAGCATAAATGGCTAAGGTGCTACATGTGCACTGAATTTAAGGAGCTATAAAATGACAAACCAGCCATAAAAATGTTCTACATATAAAACATTTTTATGGTTGTTTTGTATGGCTCCTTAAACTGAACATGGTTGGGACCAGATCTGACCACCAGTTGATTGTCAGCTCTGGCCAGAGACTATACCAGGGTCTTGAACTAGTCCTGGTGAACTCCAGGGCTGAACTCCAATCTCTCCATCCCCGGCCCCAGATCTGCACTGAATTTATAACCCAAATACTTTGTTCTAGGTGAACCCAAACCCTC